ACACACACACACACACACACACGGGGAGAGATAGTGGGTAAATGGTAAATATTTAGGGAGAGAGTGTAGTGTAAAATAATAAATAAATGAAATAAATAAATAATAAATTGGCTAATGACATAAATAAATAAATAAAGATAAAATAAATGATTAAATAATAATAATAAAAAAGGAAATAAATAAATAATAAATTAAATAAATTCTCAGCACAATGAATGGGGAAGGGGGGGAGCACAGCTGTATGCCAGGGGTGAGGAAGAGCGAAAAGAAGAAGGTGGGGGTCAGGAGGTAAAAAACCTGAATTTAAAAAGAAAAAAAAGAAAAGAAGGAAAAAAAACCCACCACCAACCACCATCAACAATAACAACAAAACCTTGGCAGATGGAGTGCAGGCAGAGGGAGAGATTGACATGTGGATGGGAAATAGGGAGAGAGAGACCTAGAGTGTCACGGAGGGCTGTAAATTTTATATATATATATATATATGTATGTGTGTTTATATGTGTGTGTATATATATGGATATATGGATAGGCATATAGGTGCGCGTGCTGCGCGCCTATACAGACAGACAGACTCAGACAGACAGAAGGAGAAGAGCCCTCACACACACACATACACACACACACACATACATACACACACACACAGACAGACGCCTGCACATCCACGGGGAGGATGAGGAAGGGTGGGAAGAAGGAGGAAGAAAAAAAAAAACAACAAACCAAAACAAACCAAAACAAAAAAAAAAAAACCAAACCAAAATAGTAGGGAAGAAATATTCACCTTCCCGCCTCATGCCCACTTTGAGGCACTTCTTGAGGCGGCAGTACTGGCACTGGTTGCGGTGATGTTGGTCGATGGGACAGTTCCTGTTGGCCCGGCATGTGTAAGTTAAGTTCCTGCGGACGCTCCTCTTGAAGAAACTTTTGCATCCTTCGCAGGTGAACTGGCCGTAGTGCTTCCCGCTGGATTTATCCCCGCACACCACGCACTCGATGTGTTGTTGACTTTGACCCGCACCTTGTGGACCCGTTCCCTTGTCCCCAGCAGTGCCTGGTGTAGAAGGGGGTCCCGGTTGATTTGGGGTCTGAGGTGTATGAGGAGCGGCCGAACCCCCTTGTTGTTGCTGTTGGGGTGGTTGTTCTCGAGTGGGTTGAGATGCGGTGGGGTTGGGGCCGCTCGGGTTGCCCCCGGCCACGTCTTCCTGCGGATCTCGCCAGCTGCTAACTACCATTGCCATATCTCGGGCCCAAAAAAGTGCTGGGGAGC